CTCCTCCCTAGCCCGCCCTCCTACCAGCAGTACTGCATGCGCGCGTGCTGTCCCCGCTGCGAGCCTGCCCTCTCCTTGCTTAGCACGTCCTACCCTGCCGCCACCCCCGCCGCGGATTGCTCTCCTTCTCTTTCCCCCCGCGCTTTTTCCTTCCTCCCTTTGACGCATGCTGGCCTCCCCTCGTGCTATAGGAAGCATCGGAGGGCGGGGACAAGGAGAATTTGGCCACTAGCCCGCTAGCAGCCCCCGCATGGAGGTAAGACAACATGTGCAGACAGCTGTTCGTTGTTTAGTTCGGCGCTGCATCCGTTCCTGCCAGCCCCAACCCTTCCTGCTTCCCCCATGGCCCAATCCCACTGCAGACTTGCCTCCTCCCTAGCCCGCCCTCTTACCAGCAGTACTGCATGCGCGCGTGCTGTCCCCGCTGCGAGCCTGCCCTCTCCTTGCTTAGCACGTCCTACCCTGCCGCCACCCCCGCCGCGGATTGCTCTCCTTCTCCTTCCCCACGAGCTTTTCCCTTCCTCCCTTTGATGCATGCTGGACTCCCCTCGTGCTATAGGAAGCATCGGAGGGCGGGGACAAGGAGCATTTGGCCACTAGCCCGCTAGCAGCCCCCGCATGGAGGTAAGACAACATGTGCAGACAGCTCTTCGTTGCGTAGTTGGGCGCTGCATCCGTTCCTGCCAGCCCCAACCCTTCCCGCTTCCCCCATGGCCCGATCCCACTGCACACTTGCCTCCTCTCTAGCCCGCCCTCTTACCAGTAGTACTGCATGCGCGCGTGCTGTCCCCGCTGCAAGCCTGCCCTCTCCTTGCTTTGCACGTCCTTCCCTGCCGCCACCCCCGCCGCGGATTGCTCTCCTTCTCCTTCCCCCCGCGCTTTTCCCTTCCTCCCTTTGACGCATGCTGGCCTCCCCTCGTGCTATAGGAAGCATCGGAGGGCGGGGACAAGGAGTATTTGGCCACTAGCCCGCTAGCAGCCCCCGCATGGAGGTAAGACACATATGCAGACAGCTGTTCGTTGTTTAGTTCGGCGCTGCATCCGTTCCTGCCAGCCCCAACCCTTCCTGCTTCCCCCATGGCCCAATCCCACTGCACACTTGCCTCCTCCCTAGCCCGCCCTCTTACCAGCAGGGCCCTCCAACTGGTTAGCCTGAACACATGGAAACGCATGCTGAAACACGCATGCGCGCGTGCACGCTCCCTCCCTCCCTCCCTCTTACCGGCAGCATTGCATGCGCACGTGCTGTCCCCGCTGCACGTATACCCTCTTTTTGTTTAGCGCGTCCTTCCCTGCCGCCACCCCCGCCGCGGATTGCTCTCCTTCTCCTTCCCCCGCGCCTTTCCCTTACTCCCTTTGACGCATGCAGGCCTCCCCTCGTGTTGTAGGAAGCGGAGGGCGGGGACAAGGAGCGTTTGGCCACTAGCCCGCTAGCAGCCCCCGCATGGAGGTAAGACAACATGTGCAGACAGCTGTTCGTTGTATAGTTCGGCGCTGCCTCCGTTCCTGCCAGCCCCAACCCTTCCTGCTTCCCCCATGGCCCGCGCTAGCCCGTCCTCTTACCCACAGCATTGCATGCGCACGTGCTGTCCCCGCTGCAAGTCTACCCTCTCCTTGCTTAGCGCGTCCTTCCCTGCCGCCACCCCCGCTGCAGATTGCTCTTCTAAGCACTCGTTCATGCCACCCCTATCTTGCACCTCGACCAGTACTGCTGCATGCCTTACACCCTGCATCATTTATGCAAGCTACTCTTTGCGGAAGGCCGCTTTCTGGGGTTCGACTCCACCGTCGAGTACCGCATGCATACCAAACCCTCATAGATTGCCCGATGTCCCACCAGCAAGCACCTGCCTTGCATGAGCCACGTGTTGCCAGACATGTGGCAAAAACGTTTGCCCCTGTGGCAAGCCCTTCCACCTTGTTACAAGCCCTCCCCAGGTGTACGCAGGTGTTGCGACACAGCCCCGGGTGTTGCAAGCCCTGCCTGCACCCCCCCCCCCCCCCCCTCCAGCCGCAAGTTGCAGCCTGGTGTGTGCGCCCAAGTCGTGTCTGAGCATATCAACATTCAATGTTGTTAGAAAGAGTCTCGTTGAATTGCGATTCGTGGTGTACACAGGCTAGACACAGTCGGACGCTAGAAGAGGGGGGGGGGGTTAGGGGGGGGGCGAAGCCCCCCCCTCCAGCCGCAAGTTGCAGCCTGGTGTGTACACCGAAGTCGTGTCTGAGCTCATCGCCAACCGTTTCGCTATGACATACCAGCCACACGCACGCACGCTCAAGCACCATTTTCTCTCTTGCCAATAAGCCGGGCTGCGCGTGTAAGTCGGACGCTAGAAGAGGGGGGGGGGTTAGGGGGGGGGGGCGAAGCCCCCCCCCTCCAGCCGCAAGTTGCAGCCTGGTGTGTGCGCCCCAGTCGTGTCTTAGCTCGTCGCCAACCGTTTCGCTATGACGTACCAGCCACACGCACGCACGCTCAAGCACCATCTTCTCTCTTGCCAATAAGCCGGGCTGCGCGTGTAAGTCGGACGCTAGAAGAGGGGGGGGGGGGGGGTAGGGGGGGGGCGAAGCCCCCCCCCCCTCCAGCCGCAAGTTGCAGCCTGGTGTGTGCGCCCATGTCGTGTCTTAGCTCGTCGCCAACCGTTTCGCTATGACATACCAGCCACACGCACGCACGCTCAAGCACCATTTTCTCTCTTGCCAATAAGCTGGGCTGCGCACGTAAGTTGGACGCTAGAAGGGGGGGGTTAGGGGGGGGGCGAAGCCCCCCCCCTCCAGCCGCAAGTTGCAGCCTGACTTGCAAGCCAAACTCGTGTCTGAGCATTTTAACATTCATTGTTGATATAAAGAGTCGCGTTGAATTGCGATTCGTGGCGATTTGGCCAAAAACACGAAAAACAAAAAATGACATTTTGCAGTCGATGGGGTTCGAACCCGGGTCGCCCGCGCCAATCGCGATTTTTTGGAGCGCTATCGCCGCTATGGACGTTTCCAAATTTAGGATACACGAACCCCCCCCCTCCCTATTTACCCCTTTCCTACGCTAACTTCGCTAGCTCCGGACTCCGTCTACGACGTCGCCCTACGACGTCGCTACATTGCTCCGGCGATACACGAACCCCCCCCTCCCTATTTACCCCTTTCCTACGCTAACTCCGCTAGCTCCGGACTCCGTCTACGACGTCGCCCTACGACGTCGCTACATTGCTCCGGCGACATAGCCACCCTATACCATAACACGATAACACCTTAACTCTCTCTCCAACCAAATAGCCAGTCATGCCAGGAGAAGCCAACTGAAGAAGGGGGAATGAAACAACTGGGCCCCTGACGCGCTACCCGTGCCCTCTTACGTACTCAGCTAACCTGCTAACACGCATTACTGCTGGCACGGCAACGGACCCAATCTGCGTGGCCTGCTCCTATCCAAGGCCCACGCAGAGACAACCCCCGGCCACTAGACCCAACAAGGAAAACAATGCGAAGGGCGGGTGGGTGGAAAAAGAAACTAGACCTCGGTAAGGCAGCAAGCCCAAGCTCTAGACAGCGAGGGCTATCCCCAATTGACTAGCGTTGACTACAAGAGGCTAGCCGTGATTGGACACAAAACCAACGAAGTTCCCCGGAAGAAAGCCACGCAACGATAAAACAACAAGGAAGGCAACTCTCAAAACGCCATCCGACCACCAAGGCTCAATGTACGACAACTCATGCACTCGCCCCTACGGGTCCTCAAACTAGATTTTTAGCTACGCCAAAAATATAATTTTGATGCCTGCCGTAGTGGCTCGTGACATAGCCACCCTATACCATAACACGATAACACCTTAACTCTCTCTCCAACCAAATAGCCAGTCATGCCGGGAGAAGCCAACTGAAGAAGGGGGAATGAAACAACTGGGCCCCTGACGCGCTACCCGTGCCCTCTTACGTACTCAGCTAACCTGCTAACATGCATTACTGCTGGCACGGCAACGGACCCAATCTGCGTGGCCTGCTCCTATCCAAGGCCCACGCAGAGACAACCCCCCTTTCCCTATCCCTTATCACATCTGCTCTACCACCGCCCGCCTGACTGCCACTGACTTGCGAGTGTACACATCTACGGCCCGGGACTTCCATCGCCCGTGCTCCTTACTGGCCTCTACCACGTGGGTGATGAAGAGGCAGACCAGGAAGCGGTTGAGGTCCTGGCCCCGGGCCCGAGGGAAAGCATCCTGCTCGCTCAGGCGCAGAACAACGACGCAGAACCTCAGGAACCGCTGGCGCCCCGCCTCATAGGTGGCCGCAGACCGGGCCGCCACCGCGCTGCCTACCTGCACTACCCATCGTTTGGCGAGTCCGCTCACGTAGCCTTCGGCAGCCTCCGCCCCAACGCCCGCCGCCGCCAACACGCAGCCGGCGCAAAGGTACCACCCACCCGGGTAGTCGCCGGCTGCCAGCCCTAAGCAGCGGCGGTGCGCCATGCGGTGCTGAGCTGCCGGCTGAGGCGATCTGCGCGCACATTCTCGACGCCCGCGATATGCTCCGCCCGGAGCTCAAACCCCTGCCGGATCGCAAGCTCCACCATCTGCCGGCTGACGCTGCGGCCCTCCGGCATGCGGGTGGAGCCGTGCCTGATCGCAGCCACGGCCTGAGTATTGTCGCAGCGGATCAGCACACGCCGCCCGGTGAGCCGGGGCGCCCACGGCTGCACCGCCCTGAGCACCGCCTTCAGCTCCAGCCAAGCCATGTGTAGCTGCTTCTCCGCCGCTGACCACGGCCCCTGCAGCTCCGCGGGGCCCCAGGCCGCGCCAGAGCCGCAGCCGCTGGCGTCGGTGAAGAACACTGCACCACTGGGGCCCCAAACTCCCCCCTCACCAAGTCGAGGTCCGCTACAGCGCACTGCTTGACGCCGTCCCACACTGGCGAATCCGACCGAAGACCCTCCACCAGAACTCCAAGTCCTCTATGGCCTCAGGCGTTAGCTGCACCAAGCGTGGTGGTAGTGTAGTTACCCTTCACGCTGCTCGCCCCTGCCACTGCACCTCCCTGCGGCGCTGCAGGCGCCACGGTGCTGCTGCTCCCATGTTCTACCGATGGCCTGCCGACTGGATCTGCCATTGAGGATGTCGCCACCGGCTGGCCATGTTCCGCCACCATGGCTCCCTGTCTCAGGGCCAGCGCCGCTGCGTACAAAGCCTCCAGGGGCCCTACCAGCGCCTCTGACCACCGGCCATCCGTCTCCACCACGTGTCCCAACAGCCTGCTGCTGTTCACTGCACGAGCGATAGGGAGATGGGCCGGAGGAAGGTGAGGAGGCCCATAAGATACCCACTTCGCCCTGGAATTGGGTTGTTATCGCCTTGGGTGGTACACAGGTATCCCATTTCGCCCTGGGATTGGGTTGTCCCATATCGCCTTGGGAAGGCACAAACGTATCTCACTTCGCCCTGAGATCGGGTTTTCCCATTTAGCCTTGGGTAGGCACTAAAAGTCCCACTTCACCCTGGGATTGGGTTGTCCCATATCGCTATGGGGAGGCGCCTAAGTATCCCACTTCGCCCTGGGATAGGGTTTTTCCATTTAGCCTTGGGTAGGCACTAAAGGTCCCACTTCACCCTGGGATTGGGTTGTCCCATATCGCTATGGGGAGGCGCAAAAGTATCCCACTTCGCCCTGGGATAGGGTTGTCCCATTTCACCTTGGGGAGGTCTAACGTACGGCCCGCCCTCATGGTGTCTCCCACACCGCCCTGGGGTGGCCTACCTGCATGAGTGTCGCCCATGCCGCCCGATGCGCCCGCTAGCCACCCCGCGCCACCGCCCCCCGCGGCGGCGGCGTCTGGGGCACCCGCCATGTCCCTGGCGGGCGCATGAAGTTCCTAGTTCCTCCGCGGCATGCGCCTGCGCGCCGCCGCTAGCTTCCTGTCACGCTCATCCTCCGGGAGGCCTACCAGCGTGGGCCAGTTGTGGAACCTGTGGCCCGTCGCGTCGCAGACAAAACAGCGCTATTGTGCATCGCCGTGGCTGCCTGCGGACCCGCTGCTCGGAAGCGGGAGGGGCGCCTCCCTGGCCGCTGCTCGGTTGCTGGAGGTGCCTTGACCCGTCGCGCTGCGCAGGATGTCGGTCAAGTCCTCCTTGCTGAAAGAGGAGAGGCCGCGCAGTAGGTTGAGCTTATCCGGGTCTCCCTCCTTTAGCCAACGCATGGCCTTGGGAAAGGTAGTGTAGCGCGTGAGCTTGCTGACCTCGGACTGGACCTGCTGCGCCTCCTGCGCCCGCTTGTAGCGCTGATGACGCTCTTGGCATGACTGTTGAAGATGTCTTGGTTGGTAGACAGCCGCTGCACACCCGCTACCGCTAGCAACTCGCTCATGAATGGCGCCATGGCCGCGGTGTCCTCCATGTCAATGCTGGAGGTAAGGGTCTTCTCGAACGGTCCCAGCGCCGACCGTTGAGCCCCCGTTGCCGTCATGCCCGCGCCCGGCCCCGTCGCCAACGTGTCCAGCCAGGAGTCCAAGATGCCGGCGCCCTGGACCGTCAGGCGCCGGGGGACCTTGCTTGGCGGCAGCACCGCCGCCTCCAGCGGACCTTCCACCGCCCTCCTCACTCCCCTTTCCGGGCGCTCTGTCAAGACGTGAGAGGCCCCTTGGGGCGCCGCCTGTCTAAAGGCAGGGGGCGCCAACGGGCCTAGTGTCTGAGCTAGGGCCGGGAAGCCCTCGGTATCCACCTGTTCCTCAATATCCAGCACATGTGCGTATTGTACGGGCACCGTGGTTGCTGCTGCTGCTGCTGCGGTTGCAACCTGCCTCGCTGCTGCTGCCGCTGGTATCGGCTGAACTGCTGCTGCCGGTTGTCCCAACCCCGCTGGTCCCTGTCCCGTTGCCCCACCAGCCGGAGGCTCACCTTGTGGGACCGGCGCCAGCGCACCGTGTCCCTCCTGGGTCGTAACGATCGCCCCAGCCGCGAAGGCCTGGCTGAGCTGTGACTTGCGCATGAAGATGGCGCGACGTGTGTCTTCCCGAGCCCGCAGTTCCAGATAAAATGGCTGCCTGCGCTCAATCTCTCGAATTACTTCTGCCGTGGCTTTCTTATAGCGGGCAACCGACTGCAAATACGCCTCTTTCGTTGCTTTGGTCTTGCCCGGCTTGAGCAAACTGATAGCGTCCTGCTCAGCTTCCTCGGCTTCAATAATTAAGCGTTCACAGGTTTTCAGATGTTCCTGTTCCTCGGCTGTGAGTAGTGCTGCCGCTGGGGACTGAAGCTGCCGGTCGCAATCTTCGAGTGTTCTCAAGTGGTTCAAAAACTGGTCTGCCATTGTTAACAAAGAAACTAGACCTCGGTAAGGCAGCAAGCCCAAGCTCTAGACAGCGAGGGCTATCCCCAATTGACTAGCGTTGACTACAAGAGGCTAGCCGCGATTGGACACAAAACCAACGAAGTTCCCCGGAAGAAAGCCACGCAACGATAAAACAACAAGGAAGGCAACTCTCAAAACGCCATCCGACCACCAAGGCTCAATGTACGACAACTCATGCACTCGCCCCTACGGGTCCTCAAACTAGATTCTTAGCTACGCCAAAAATATAGATTTATGAAGAGGTTGCATCCTCCGAAACCAAGTCCGTCCCCCCCAAAGTCGCCCAAAAACGCAAGATCCCATCCTCATGCGCATCGCGGGTGCAATGGCAGTGAAGTGAAAACAACATACGGGACTCCCTACCCTGAGAAAACACGTTTGGGGGGTGCCTGATGGTGTAGGGGCGGTGGGGGGAGGATGTGCTGCACAGATTGCCTATGGTGGTCCTTGCTCAGCCAGCAAATGTATGTTGCGCTGTGGTCCAGACATTGATGCTATACAATAGGATGAAAGTATGCCTACCTGCCATGCATGTTATGTATGCCCCTTCTTCTCTAGCTGTGTCTGTGATGCAAGGTGTGTGTGTGTGTGTATGTGCGTGGCTGGCTGCACATAATTCACCATGGTAGGCACAGAAGTCGGTGCGGTTTTTGTGATGTCTTCCAGGGTACCCTTCACTCCGGGATCCTTATCAATCGTGCGTTAATTAGCAGACGATATGTAAATGTGATTGGGGTCTGACCCTGTAATAATCTTGTTGGGTAGGGTTGTCAAGGGGTCGCTGTGGTAGGTGCAGAGTTCAGTGTGCAAGCAGTGTATAATCGACAGCAGCCCTTTCATTTAATAGCTCGCAAGTGTTGGCTCACCGCTCCCACACAGCCAGCCACCTGCTGGCCAAGCTTGAGTGCATGTGCCTTTATTCAGTTAAACATTACGCAAGTATCTGCACCCACTCCTACTTGCCCTGGGTGTCAACACACTCACCGCACATGCATGCTGTGATGAGCTGCATGACAATGCTGTCAGCTTTCTCGAAGCCATAGTGAGGCACCGAAGGCGGATAAAACGAGTCCTCCCCCAAGGAGACCCAGGAGGCCAACGCCCACCAAAATACCACTAGCTACTACTCCATTGCTGTACATGTGGTGAAGGATGTACAGTGGAGGGGGAACCCGTCAACCTTCACCACAGCCCGCCCCCTTAAGGCACGCCAGGGCAAGCCCGGTATAATTAATTATTGCATGTGCCTTTCACATGAGACACATTGGGTGTAAGCGCAGGTTACTGGCGCCTTGGGGTATCCGTCAGCCCCAATCATTATAGTAGTGTGGTTTGCAACAAGACCATTCACTAGGAGCAAAATGTCAGCCACCGCTAAAGGGGGGTGACCTCACCTGGGAATGACACATGCTCCTAGGCTACCAGTAACCCAAGCTTACATCCACTGCGGCTTGTGCAGCTCAGGAGCATGCGCATGAGATGTGGATAGTAGCCCTATATATAGCATGATGGCTAGCCACGTGGCGGTGAAGCAGCAGTTGCCTACCATCTGAAAGCTTGTTTGTGGAATCTGCACTGAACTCTCCACCGCCGAGACCCATGTTGCTCCATTCCTCCATTCCTGGCGTTCTCAATGGGCTGTTCCAACCGCAAGCGTGTGCAATTCAGAAGTGTGCACGCAAGAACCGCTGATGCTCAGTTATGGCGGCAAGTCGGACGCCCAAAGCAAAATGCCACTATTGTACTTTTGTAGAGAGCCGTTTTCATAGGCACAATTCCATCGGTTTATATCTCGTAGCAAAGGCCCCGTGTTGGTCTGAAAGTTATTAGCCCACTCGACACATTGTTACCTTGCCTGAAAGTGTATTTTTAGGACAAGGATTTGTCCCTTGTGACTTAACTTGGGTTCGGCCTAAAGCGTGTGTACCAGCTTCGTACGGCATTGCACCACCAGGCGCAGGACCGTCCAAGTGCACAGAAATGGCAGAGCTTAGAGTAATAGAAACCCATTACTTCTTGCCATGACGCCTCCTCTGCACTTTATTTAGGCATGTTCTGTTTCCCGTCATTACTTCAGTCACCACCCAAAGCGGAAGCATAAAATGTTTGTTCGAGTGATTCATATGCAGCGCGTCATTCACCTACGGCTCATTCCAAAGACAGTGCGCGAATAAGAGTGGGTATGAGACATGTCTATGCACACTGAAGGTTCAACAGTGCAAGGAATACACGCCCAGGTGTCTGTATGTGGCAGCCGTCAGACTACTGCTGGCCAAGTGGCCTGAGTAGACGGGTAAGCGGACAAGCCAAGCAAACACATCAGCGGATATCAAAGATACTGCCAAATTACAAGGAAAAAGCGCAAAACGCCGTCACGGGGAATCGAACCCCGGCCTCCCGCGGGCAGTTTTTGGTTGACAGGCGGGGATACTAACCACTATACGATGACGACCCCATTGCCCCGGCATTGCCGGGCTGTCTGCTCTTGTCTACACTAGAAAAAAGTTTCGCTACCGGGACTCGAACCCGGGTCTCCAGAGTGAGAATCTCGTATCCTAACCGCCTAGACTATAGCGAACCACCTTTGGTGTTGTATCTATGGTGACAAATGGACGTTTATGAAGAGGTTGCATCCTCCGAAACCAAGTCCGGCCCCCCAAAAGTCGCCCATAGCGCCGCGTCGTGGTCGCCGCGGCCGGGGGTACCGTAAATCCTGATTGGTGATGAATCCGCGAACGAACAAGCTTTGCGTGCCGGCATGACTCCAGCATTGCGGACCTAACATTGGCGCGCCGACCAGTGTTGTGAGGTTGCTCATGTGTTGCAGACAAGCATGGTCGGCGGACCTGATGTCAGCGTGCGGCTCATGTTCGAAAGCAATAGTCGGCATGGCGTACATGTACGGCATGGCGTCGAACTGCTTCAAATTCAAATTTTGGGGCGCCTCCGGACGTTTTCCGCTATCGGTGACCTCTTGGGGCTGCCCTACGGCATGTTGGCGTGTCCAAGGCACGAAAAGCCCTTGTTCTGTACCAACATATACAGGTAGAGCCTCGCTACCTGCGCACTACATGCACACACACACACACACACACACACACACACACACACACACACACACACACACACACACACACACACACACACACACACACACACACACACACACACACATCTGCGCATGAGGGCGACGTCTCATGACCCGTGGGTCAGTGATCACCAAAAAAGCGATCATTTTCGGCGATCAGCAATCAGCGCTTTTCAGGAGATGCGCCGACTTCACGAACGTGCTTCTCGCCGAGACCAGCTTGCAAATCGCGCCGAAAGATGTTTGCCGATGCCAGGCCAATTGTGCCGAAATCTAAAGAGCTTTCACGGCGATCTCCCCTGACAGCATTCGCCGATCAGCAATCGCCGATCAACTACAGTTTTCGGCGATCAGTAATCGACGCTTTTCAGGAGATGCGCCGACTTCACGACGGTGTTCAAAGGAGCCAGTGCGACGAGGGGGTGGTGAGGGGGGTGGGGAGCATGGAGGGGGGTGGTCACGGTCACCAAACAGTTTTACGCTGATTTTGGAAAGTAACCAAGAAACTGCGAATGGCTCATTAATTCAGTTATAGCTTAGTCGACATCACAATGCAGGATATTGCAACAAGAAGATTGGTGGTACGCGGTGCCCGAAGCCATGCCGTACCGTGTCACTGTACGACAGGGGTGATCAAAGGAGCCAGAGCGACGAGGGGGTGGTGAGGGGAGTGGGGAGCATGGAGGGGGGTGGCCACGGTCACCAAACAGTTTGACGCTGATTTTGGAAAGTAACCAAGAAACTGCGAATGGCTCATTAATTCAGTTATAGCTTAGTCGAGATCACAATGCAAGATATTGCAACAAGAAGATTGGTGATACGCGGTGCCCGAAGCCATGCCGTACAAAGTCGCTGTACGACAGGGGTGGTCAGAGGAGCTAGAGCGGCGAGGGGGTGGTGGGGGGAATAGGGAGTTTGGAGAGGGGTGGTCACAGTCACCGAACAGTTTTACGCTGATTTTGGAAAGTAACCAAGAAACTGCGAATGGCTCATTAACTCAGTTATAGCTTAGTCGACATCACAATGCAAGATATTGCAACAAGAAGACTGGTGATATGTGGTGCCCGAACCCATGCCGTACCGTGTCGCTATCCGACAGGGGTGGTCAGAGGAGCCAGAGCGACGAGGGGGTGGTGAGGGGAGTGGGGAGCATGGAGGGGGGTGGTCACGGTCACCAAACAGTTTGACGCTGATTTTGGAAAGTAACCAAGAAACTGCGAATGGCTCATTAATTCAGTTATAGCTTAGTCGACATCACAACGCAGGATATTGCAACAAGAAGATTGGTGGTACGCGGTGCCCGAAGCCATGCCGTACTGTGTCGCTGTACGACAGGGGTGATCAAAGGAGCCAGAGCGACGAGGGGGTGGTGAGGGGAGTGGGGAGCATGGAGGGGGGTGGCCACGGTCACCAAACAGTTTGACGCTGATTTTGGAAAGTAACCAAGAAACTGCGAATGGCTCATTAATTCAGTTATAGCTTAGTCGAGATCACAATGCAAGATATTGCAACAAGAAGATTGGTGATACGCGGTGCCCGAAGCCATGCCGTACAAAGTCGCTGTACGACAGGGGTGGTCAGAGGAGCTAGAGCGGCGAGGGGGTGGTGGGGGGAATAGGGAGTTTGGAGAGGGGTGGTCACAGTCACCGAACCGTTTTACGCTGATTTTGGAAAGAAACCAAGAAACTGCGAATGGCTCATTAACTCAGTTATAGCTTAGTCGACATCACAATGCAAGATATTGCAACAAGAAGACTGGTGATACGTGGTGCCCGAACCCATGCCGTACCGTGTCGCTAGCCGACAGGGGTGGTCAGAGGAGCCAGAGCGACGAGGGGGTGGTGAGGGGAGTGGGGAGCATGGAGGGGGGTGGTCACGGTCACCAAACAGTTTGACGCTGATTTAGGAAAGTAACCAAGAAACTGCGAATGGCTCATTAATTCAGTTATAGCTTAGTCGAGATCACAATGCAAGATATTGCAACAAGAAGATTGGTGATACGCGGTGCCTGAAGCCATGCCGTACAAAGTCGCTGTACGACAGGGGTGGTCAGAGGAGCTTGAGCGGCGAGGGGGTGGTGGGGGGAGTGGGGAGCAT